TATTGGTTCCGCTATCGGGACGGAACCAATAATGGCGAACCGTTTTTTTATTTTAATGTTTTATTTAGATTACAAAAATAAATCGTAATGAAAATAATCCTATTTATGGTGCTTTAAAAAATAAGACCTAAGAAAGACTGATTTAATACCAATTAAGGCCGTAGTTTTATTTTGAAGAATTCAATGCCTTTTAAGACTTTTTAAGGACCCGCGGGAACCCTGCTGTAGAGTGTTTAACGACATTAGGGGAAAAATGGCGGTCAGAATCAGAGCAAAACTACTACATCTGCATCACCTTCCTCACATGAAGGCAGCTTTTAGATGCATCAGTCTTGTCTCAATCAGCTTCTATTTACAGAGTATGTGATCAAAGACACGTAAGTTGAATTGTTGAAGAAAGAAAACTTTCTGGGTTTTTCCCACAGTTCAGTTTCAGAAGTTGGAAACGACAACCAGGAAGTGAGCAGCTTTGGCACTCCAGCCTGTTTCGCAGGTAAACACTTCATTAAAGATTATTTGCAGGACGCTCCAGCACCTTCAGGCCATCTTCTGTTAATTGCATGATTTCACGCTCCACTTGGCTCCTACACTATCGCACCGTCCCAGGCGCTCCCGAATTAATCCACCGACCTGACTGGAGTTAAGATGCAGATGGAATGAGGATCATCTGAAAAAATACTGTCATGACTAAACATCTTCTATCCAGATCCGATGCACGATGGTTTAATGGCTGACTGCTCAATAAAACACTGAGGTGGTTCTACTGGATACCAGATTTAGATCAGAGGGAAGCTGTTGGTCCAGGTATGATCCATCAAGAACAGTTAAAATATTTAAGGTCAGGATCCCCCCTCTGTTACATATTTAACCCTCATCCATCAATCCCGTTTGCTGCATAATGAAGGTCGGGTCCCAGAGGGGCTGGTGATTAATGGCTGCTCTGATTAATGGATACAAAATCATGAAACATCCTGTGCAGGGCTGAGGACGTTTTCCAGGCATCACAAATCGATGAAAGATTAAAAAAAACTGAAGAAAACTTTAAGCCCCTCCCACCACCTGGTCTTCAGTTCATAAGGCGTTAAAACAAACTTCCAGAAAATGACCAAACCAGAGGGGATTTCTATCCCACTCAGAGTGTTTTGGGTCGATCTTTTCCAGTAACTCATTAGAGTTGCTTTGGTTTGGGAGGTTCTTTAAAACCTCTAAACACCACAGGAGAGTTTTAGAATGTAGATGGAGCAATAAATCAGAGCTCCGCCTCTAAGCTCAGCTGCTTCACCCAAACCAAACCTACAGGAACCGTTCAGAGGAACCAAACACTAGTAATAAATGTTAATAATCAGAACAGCTTACAGTTACAGGTCAGCGGAGGGGCCTGGTTTCATTCCAGGAGGAGATTTATCAGATCTGGACACATTCGAACTTTGTTTTTGTGTTCGAGTGATCATCTTTGCAGGGGAGGATCTTTGAGCTCCTTTCTACAGATCTCATTATTTGACTTTGTGGGCTTCAGTGGGATTGATAACATCCAGCAATGATGGTGAAGAAACCAAAAAGGATTTAAAAGGTCCTGATTCAATCATCATATTGAGGCTAACTCACCTAAAGTCTGAACATGATGGTTTGAA